GCTTTGGCAACTCCACGCATCAGAGATTGGGGAGGGATGTGATTTTGGCCATTGTCGACATTGTGATAACAGGCTTCTTCGATGGGGATCCAGACATGTTTGAGGGTGTTGGAAAGCACTATGCTATGTGAGGGCACTGCCCTTCGCTGTGATGGCAGCAACGACTTTGTTTTGGCACACCTGAGATGGCATGATCAAGCCCCCAAAGGCATGTTTCCTACCACTTTGCCCTGTTGTAGGGACCCCTCCAAGCTTCTGTCCAAACGGCGTTGTTAGCTTTGCCACAGCGAAGGCGCCCTCCTTGCCATTGCACACAATGGCTGCTTTGGTCATTTTGTTGAGAAATGGGTGGTCTTCTGGCCAGAGGACCTTTAGTACAAAATGCTGCCAGATCTTTTACACCCAACAGATTGCTGAGAAATGGGTGGTCTTCTGGCTAGAGGACCCTTAGTACACATGAGCCACCAAAATGGTGTAAATCCATTGCTGGATCCTTGTGCTGGGACAACCACGGATCTCCCATATGGTTAGGTCGCCATGTCTCTTCCCCACACCAAGGCAAAGCGCTTGGACGGCTCCCAGTTTGATGATCCATCCAGCCATTATTGATCTTCAGATGCCTACCCGGCCATAGCCTCCTACACTTGGTGTCTGGGAATTGCACCAGAATTTTGTATAGATTGAACCTGAAGGCCATTATTTAGTGGCACCCGTGGCATGGACCTGATGCCATAAGATGACCTAGACTTTGGAGCACTGGAAAGCTCACAAATGGCACACCTAATAGGATAAAGTTAATGGAGTTTTGCAAATCCGCAAAGTCATGGCAAGATTAGAAAAATGGCCATACTTTTGGGACGAAGGTTGTGTTTGTTCGATTGAGGAGATAAATTCCAAGGGGAAAGGATTATAGTAACGGTAGTCATAGCAAGGGGGTGTAGTGGGAGTCTGATTTGGGCAGTTAAAGGAAGGTAGGTTAATGAAGTGGGAGTGAGGGAGAATATTGGGTAGGGACCCTAGGAACGCTGGCGGGCAGACGGGTCATGCCAGGTCAGGGAGAGATGAAGTGGTTAGGATGTTCTATGGGAGTTCGGGGAATTTCATTGGAGTTGGAACCCGCCAGCATGATTGCGTTGTGCACCATCGCTGGATCGTAGTGGAGGGTGCTGTCCGTCAACAAGGACACCCTCCCGGGCTGTACAATCGAGTGAGTACCTATAAAAGGACAGACCGCTCTTTAATCGATGCTTGGGTTCTGAACAAGTCGGGCGTAAGGCCGTGGAGGCCTGACTGCGTGTGCAACCTCTGCTGGGCATCCGCGAGTGAGCCGGCTGCTGTGCTACTCATTGACGGGTACCGGCACATACATATATAATGGTGCCCAGTAGGAAAATACAATCCAAATATATCGCTAACAGCACCTGACGGCATTTCCAGCCCAACGCCGATTTCTAAGCCCTGCAGATGGCATAGGCCAGAGGCCATGGTGGACTCCCCATGGTTTTCCAATTGTGGTGTACTTTGTGGTACAAAGTTGTGGCAGGGTCAGTGTCCCTAGATATGTATAGTGCCATGATTATGCCTTGCAGGGCCATCAACACATGTGCTTTCATCTTTTTTTGCCTGCATAGGTGTGTCTTTGTCAGCCAGAACTGGTTTGCTACGGTTTTTTGGCCGTTGGGCAGTGTTTGCATTGCACAAAGAGCAATAGCATGCCTTGCAAGTGTCTACCCCAGTTCGAACCCCTACAAAGTTGTCTGACCATCTAGGGCTGTGCTCATGTGCCAACCACCACATGTATGTCCCGACCGCCAAGGCTGTCAGAACTATCTCAAGCTCTGGTGGCCGGTGCCTTTCCCAGGCACCCATGGCAATGCTGCTTGGGGATACTGGCCGTGCATGCCAGCCTACCCAGCTGCCTGCATGTGCATTTCCATGCATCTGTGCTTTCACAAGACTACATGGCCCCAGTCGCAGTGTTGCATTGGCTAGGACTGTTGAGGGGTTCTGAGGGTCTATGAGGGCGCCTCTACCCATTCTCTTGTTCCACATCTCCTAACACATCTCACTTCGATGCCAACACGCCGCCACTTTCACTGGACTTCAATAGCTGCTTGGAGGAATGTAGTGGCGACATGAACTCCAGTACCACTGGCACAACAACTGTTGGGATCGAAACACTTGGGCAGATTGCATACTAAGGCACCTCACGTGCATGGCTTGGTAGCTAGAGGGACCAGCGGATGTGGTGGATGGTGCCCAAAAGGCGTCTGAGGACAGCTTTGCATGGAGAACTGTGTGGGGCTGGATGGTGTGCAACGGCTTTTTGCCATTGCGCATGCCCACACCTAGTGGGATTGCCAATGAAAACATGCTTGTCGCCCCCTCACCCCACCCCACCACCCCCATCCCCACCCTGTGGCACCCACACCAAGTTCTTTGGGGGGATCGTTCGCCGCACGTGCAGCACTTGCCAACACCAAGTTGCGATTGCTAGTGTTCCCATTCAACCCATCGCGCCTGGCACCCGGAGCCCAGCATCGAAAGAATTGGGCTGTGCAAGTCACAACCTGGCGTCTGCGGCCAGGTGCCTCCGGCGTCCGCGTCCGTGCCTTTGCAGCAACATTCGTGTTCCCTGTGCCATTGGCATTCCACAAAGGTTCCGCAGACCAACGCCCGCAACTGCAAGACAGGACATGCTCTAGCCAAGGGCCGTTTGCACGCTGCCGGTGACCGGGTCAGAAACGCAGGCATCATTGTTTTGGCTACGGTTTCTGTTTCTTTTCCCTGTACCGCATCACTCCATAGCAGCGTCGTTTCATCACAAACGGGTCTAGTGCCGTGTCGGTTACGAAAATAATGAAATATAACACAACCACAGTACACACGCATATTTTCAAATACGCGCCGTTACATCGCTGACTGGTTCGTCGCTGGGGAAGCTGTCCGGCGGTGGCCGCCATGGGACGGGCTGGAGGGGACGAAGTTGCAGAGGGGTCCCAAACAGCGATGTCCCTGGAAGACCATGCAATCCATTCAGTTCATTTTTGTTGCACGCGCAGCGAATGCATCGATTCGAGCAACTTGTTTCCGCGAGAACAACCTAGCAGTTCAGCATCCCACTCACGGCGACACAGAAGACTCGCGCATTCACGCCCTCCCTACAGACCTGGACCCGCCGCCAAACCGCGATACTCGGCCACAATCAGTGCAGCCACAAGCCGCTTCCTGCAAATCGCCGCACCAGTCTCCAGAGCTCGCTTTTCTTCAGTCCCCGGAATCGAGTGGAGACGTCTGCCTCCCCTCATCGCAATCCAGAAGCGCACGCAGACGTGGGGACCCGCGACCGGTCGCAACAGCGCCAGTCAGGAGAAAGCCCCCACGGCCAGTCAGACCGCGCTGTTTCAACGAGGCCCCCTGGCCCTCGCACCATTTCGAATGCGCTCTCAAGTCGGCGGCGACTGGCCGTGCGCACGTCAGTTTTGCGGAATTCAGTGGCTGTCCTATCGACAAGGCCGCAGCGGCAGCTGAGATCCAGCCATGGAAGCCGTTTTCGCGACACCTTCCAATGGACGTTCTGCCCTATTCCATATGCGGCTTGCGGCAGCCTGGACGGGATGCGCCCTGGAGCCCCAAACGATGCGGAGCTGTAGCACAACATCAATCGTTCCAGCGCCAGCCCATTCCCTCCTCGCTGTGTCCCAGGCACACCCTAACTGACAAGGCACGCCTGGCGGTTCCTCGCAAATATTCCACTGCACGTCCAGATCCCAAGCCTGCTAGAATAGGCGCAGTCCATCCGCGCAGCCAGTGTGGGGCTGTCTGGTTTGCAGAACACAGGCAGGTCGCAGGATCTCACATTTCAGCACCTGAGAGTTCTCCTCCAAGCTTCAATTGCCTCGGATCGTCTGCTTGAATGCGGGGCAAGCGAAAACAACCCAAGAGCCTCCGGTCCCCCACAAGAAAACAGCCTGGTCCATCAACGCCAGGCAGGAAGGGCCCGGCTCTCCCTTGACGGGCGAGTAGACCGTCAGTCCCTGGGGGTGTATGTGGGTCAAGGAGAGGGACGGGGGCCACGCAGACAGAACATTGCTCGCATCATGTTGAGGTGTCTGAAAGGGGGTCGTTACATACGCAGGGCTACTCGCTGTCAGGCCACTGCCTGCTGGCCATCGGCGCGGCCCGTCACGTGAAGCGAAGCGTGAGAGGAGGGCAGTGAGAAGGAGGCGAAGGTGGGTGTGTTCACACAGGTGCTGCGGCATTAGTGCAGCGCTTGGAACCTGAAGCGACAGGAACCTGCAGCGCCAAGATCCTACAGCACCAAGATCCTGCAGCATCCAGATCCTGCAGCACCAAGATCATGGCGCTGCCTAGTGGCGACCAGGCGGCCCGCAGTGAAGTATAAATCAAAGTATAAATAAGGTTGCGAGCAAGCCTCAGCAGCGCGGCGGGGCAGAAGAGGACACCTGTTGGGAAGAGGCTATCCCTTCCACATCTAACATGCTCTCCGATACCCGGGCCGCGCGCTGCCGATCGAATATGTTGTCCGCGAGCCAGGGGGCCTGCCGCCGGTCACCCGCCCGCTCCGGGAACCGGGCGCTCCGCCACCTCTTGTGCTCCGGGATGTTCCGCTGCACCCGCGTGGCGCCAAGAGCTAGGCGGACCGGCTTTGCGGCCCACGTCAGAGGGGAGGCGGCCGACTTGTCCGATGATGGCGACTACCAGCCAGCGTCTGGAATCGAGACTGACGCTGACGTTGAACTCGGCTCTGGATTGATCCGAGCTTCGAGTGAACCTACAATTGCGCCCCCCCCTCCCCCCGACTATGGTGGCCGCGAGGTGAAGGCGAAATTCGGAAGCGAGAAGGGCGTTGGAACGCTGGTATGGCAGCTGGAGGAAGGGAACAACACTCATCCGGATGGAGAGCCAATCACGGTCGTGCTTGGAACCAAAATGGTTACCGTCGAGTTCAAAGATGGCAGCAAGAAGGACGTGGACAGCGACAAAAAAGGCACGCTCGGCGAGTGGCTGGTGAGTAGCGCGTTCCGCGATCGGCGGTCTGGCAGGCCTGGGGGTGTGCTTCGTTGGGCGCTGGACGTTCGCGTCCCCGACATGGCCGGCGGGGCGCACAATCGCCCGCGTAATGTTCCTCCGCCCGTGCGCCGCATCCAAGCCGACACAGGGCAGAGGGCAGTTCTTTCCGTGCGTTTTGGCCTTTCCGTGCTGATACATGCAAATACAAAAAAGAGCCCACACTTCGAAAACTTCGTCCGGCCGAAAGCACGTGGGCGCGCCCTGATCCGGGCAACTGGGAATTTGATCAGGAAGCCCGATGAAACTATCGAGGTGAAGCTGCAGCTTTTGTAGCCGCTGGTTAGTCACCCGCCACTACTGGAATCAGCATTTGTACATTCTTCGGCAATCCGAAACTGCACTACATCTTCCTGAACATACGCTTTTCATTTTGAGCAGCATTGAACCATACTCATGCGTGATGGTGTATATGCTGCAACTACATACTGTGCAATAACACACAATCATTGCTGCATCTTGTTGCGTTACGCTTTGTAGCACACATTTAGTGAACAATTGTGATTGCTTGAATTCCCAGATTCGTGCATCATTCAGATGATCACCAAACTTTGCCAATGTGGCTGATTTTCAAAAAAAATACCTGCCAGATATTGGAAAAGCGATCCAAATATGGGCAATGTCAAGCAGAGTCCTGAAGAGCACAGCTCTTGCCAATATTGTGCCAATCAAGGGTTGTGAAGTTCTTTTGTGCTGCGGCATCCAGAAATTTATTAACCACCCTGACATAAAGAAACGTCAGGTCGAGGATGGCGACCCCATTGCAATAGTTAATCCATGATGGAAATAGCAGTCAACAGGCCAGTATCTTCGCTCAAAGTGTTTGGCGCGGGGTGTGGCGCGAGACAGAGGTATAGCATTGACGAGATCAAGAGTGAAGCATGGAGGAGTGCGTGAATGTGCGAGAGAGACTCAAATCGAACTGAATTTGTATTCCCTGCATGCCATGTGAGCAACACATCAGCTGATGCTCGCGTTTGCATTTGTGGAAACTGTGTGATTGGGATAAGCACATTTGATGGGACTGGAAATAATGACTGGGTATCACCAAGTTCATGTGGCGTCTGCAAACAGTCTAGCATGCTGTGGTATTCTTCACAGTCTGCGGAGGTGCCCAGCAGGCCCAATGGCACTGCCTCATCGCTACATGGTCCTGTTGTCACATATGCAGCCTCGCTTTTGCATGTGTTTTTTTCTTCAACACCATTGTCTGTGCTCAGGAGGCTGCCAAAGGTTGGTCGAGTCACCTTTTTATGCCAAATACGGGTCTGTGACCTATGTGCCTCGTGCGGTGACTGCGATCTCTGCTGTGGATTGCAAAAGGAAGATGTTCTGATTGTGCCAACAACATAGTAGAAAATAGAAAACGAATTTGTTCAAGAAGTAAACAGAGGAAAGAAATTAAGATGCAAAGCACCAAAGGCATGTGCATAACAGCTGCATCAATGGCTGGTAATTCAATGCATCACATATGGCAGCTATGCACCATTGTTATATTCCTACCTGCGATCGCATGGTCCCTGTCCTGATGCAAACCCGAGCCTTTTTGCGACCGTCTGAGTCATGCAATCATAGGTTGGAAAAATGTGTGCATATATTCTAACATGCGATGGCATTATTGAGGGCAAGACCTGCCAGTTGCCACATCTCGCCTGGGATAATGGTGGGGTCTACTAATCCTATAATCAGGGGCTGATGCACAAAACGCAAGCGCACAGGGCGCGATCGTAGGTCTACATAGCGCATCGCTATTCCGGCCATACTAGTGATGTCGAGCCCAGAAGATAGCGGTCTGTCAACAAAATGAGGAACGAAATTGTGACACTGAGATGTCAAAATGCGGAAGGGTAAAAACATACTGCAACGTACAATATATAAACAACTGAGGTAGGATGCAGCTACACTTTCTAAGAGGCTGTGAAGAGCTGTGGGACAATGAGCCCTTTTGCTTTGGTGCAGACTTGCCAACTGACTGCAGACAATTATCGCTGGCCGGTGTCATGTTTGGTGCCAATGCTGTCTGGCCTGCGCAATTTGACTACTGCCACAAGCTCAACCACAATAACGATTGCTGCGGCGATCCTGTCCAGCGTTTGCATTTGAAAGCATGTGCAGGTCCCCGGAAAGCTACCGAGTGTATATAACATTCCACTACAAATTGTGTGTGGTGTTCCCATATACGTCATGCCATGTCCACAGTCATGGCTTGGCCGCCGCCAGGCAAATGGGTGCCAAACAAGATAGCCCAGAATCCCTTGCAAGGACCCCAGCCGAATCTGCCTACAGCCATGTGTCTAAAACATCACATGATGGGGCCACTAATTGAGAGATCGTTTGCCGCCGCCTTGGTCCTCCCACAAGTTCATAGTGGCTTCGCAGCAGGCCGCAAGGGGGTGTGGAGCGTCGAGCCTCGCGCTACCGTAGAGAGCTTATACGTGTGATGAATCTTCCAACAAGGACTTCACGCACTAATATGAGCACCCGCCCATGGCGAAGATGCGTCGTCGATAGGCGACTTCAGCATGGTATTGTAATCAGTTAACAGAGCACAATCCATGACTGAGAGCAGAGAAGCGCAAGGATATCCCAAAACCAACGTTTGCTGCAAGCAAAGTCGCGTTTACATTTATACCCTAACAATGAATCCATTTCAACGAGAACCTGCAACGACCAGAACCCGGTCACTCAAATGTACATGATCCATCTAGTATCTGCCGTAGAAATATGCAGGAAAACATTGCCCCTGCTTGAGTTCCAGTCCCACCATATTCAACGCCACTGTTGCTCTTCGACATTATTTTGAGTTTTGTACCCTTACCTTCGATATGACGGTAAGCTCACGCGCCCCAGCTTCAATCCTTATTTCGAGTTCAAGATGACTTAGGAACATTATTTAACAATACCATACTAATTTCAAAAGAGTACCAAGGGAAAAATATCCAAAAATATAGTGACTAAAATGATTTGGAAAATGGGATGCTAAAAGCCGTGATATGCAATGGGAGCAATCGAAAGGCTTTGTATTGATCCATTCTGAGGAACAAGTGGACGATTGAAAAATTGAGTGAGGTCTTGCAACAAGCTATGAGCTATTTGCCACTGATCAGCGGACTTTTGTTGAATCTTCCCACCCCATTTTGATTTAGTGCAATTGCATAATTGCTTAGCATCAATAGCTGGACCCACCCATGTTTAACACCAATTTGAGGTTAAGCGTACAGAAATCAAACTATTGCCTTAGTACTTCAAACCCATAGAAAACACGCTTTAGTACTTAACAAGTTCACAAAAACCACTCTCCATTACTTTGGCCTAGGTACCCGCGAGGCACAATAACCAACTCGCCAGGCAACGTACCACAACCGTTAGGCATGCTGCCATGCTTCCAAAACCTTAGTACGCACATAGCTCCATGCTCAATAATAAGGTTCCTCTGCTACCCGCGCCCTGCAGGCATGCCGCCACATATGACATGTTCAAGTCTGGCCATGCCATCCACACGGCACCTGCTGCCAACAACCAACGCAGGGTAGGATCCTAAAGTCAAATTCAGTGGTTCTTTTGCTTTTCAGGAAAGTGGCCATATATGTTTGTTTTTGGCCAGACACTATGATACATATCTAGATTGTGGTAAACTCGCAGTTCATCATTGTGCCATATCAGTACAATGATGGGCTCATGGTGAAAGGCAACTTTGGAAAATGCAGAATCCATGGAGAAGCGTTGGACCCTTCATCACAAAACTAATGCTAGTAGTGCTGGATAGATTACTAAAAATGCAGGCCATGTTACAACTGCTGAATGGCTACAAAATAGGCCAAAGGAGCAGTCATTCTGCTTTGAAAATGGCTCCAATTCATGACGGAATTCCGGACAGAACATGAGTTTCAAGAGCGCCATGATGGTGGGGTACAGTTTGGGCAGCGATGCTCAACTGACGATGATGATTGAGTGAACGGCCGAGTGTACGAATATTGTCCCGTACCTTGGGGTGCGCGTCCGCGGTTGCCATCACGTGTCGCAAGGTTCCTCAAAGCCGTACACACGGCGGTGGTGGCATGCAGCAATGCGCTCGAACACGAGTGCCAAAGCGTGGCTGCCAAGGCTCGGTGACAACGATGATGATGGTGGAATTGCATGGGCCGCACTGAGCTGCTTACATGGCAGCGGCCTACATCGCTGTGCATGGAATATGCTTGCCCTACAAGGGGCTGCGATGAGTGCAAGAGATGCTGGAATACATGGCGAGCTAGACTGCTGGGCACGGCTTGGATGTGAAGGCTTGCTCAGCAGTAGGGGGCACGAGCGAGGCACTGGTGCCTATAGCAGAGGCATGGGGGAGCAAGCGAGGGCAGGCTCTGGCGACTTGCAAGTGGCGGGATGCATGGCACGTGCGCGAACGGACGGAAGGCCATGGAATCGAATCAGGAGGGCGCTGATCTTATCAGGGAAGTCGCGGGGCAGTCATGCTCATAACGTAGTGAAAATCTGGAGGGTTTTGGACAAGTGGAAGGCTCGGGAGAGGTCGGGGGTGATGTGACAGCTTAGGGATTATTTGTCTGGGCAGGGAGGGTCTTAGAAAGTTCTGGTAGTCTGTGGAATAGCTGGCTGGGCTATGAATAGAGGGAGGGCTGTTGCGATTGTGTACCAAAATCCAGCACTCCCCACACCTGCGGTGCTTGATGGTAGACAAATACTAATATGACTTAAGCATTGGATTGGAGTGTAACAGTGTTTTGCAGCCCACAATCTCTTGTCTGTGCACCAAATCTTTGAGCTGCTGGGAGTGCAATTGGTGACCACTGATTTTGCATGTCATACTAGGTGTTGAGCCTGAATCAAGTGCGTGGGTAGGGAGATCGTTGTAGGCGACCATGTTCTGTGCGATCGTGCGATTTCTGAATCATGAGAGCGATCATTGTGCTATACTAAATGTGCAGCTTAATGCCAACAAATCAGTGCCGTTCAAGTCCAATAGCTTCAAACGATCGACTTTGAGGACCGAATCTGAGAGTGCAGACGCTGCCCCACTATTGCACAATGTGTGGCATGTCAAGTTGCGACTTGTAAAGCAATCGCGACATTGCATTGCGTTTGCATGAGAATTTGGTGCGTTGCATGAGGAATTGGTGCATAGAAATCGTGATAAAGCGAATGTTGGACACCCTCAAAGCACACATTTAGCTGCGATGCACAGTGATCGAGGTGGAATCTCGGCTGCAAGAGGCTGGGTTGGTTGGTGGAGATGTTTTGGCTTCAATGATCAGCCTTGCTTGTTCACGAACACTGAATTGAGGTGCCTCACTTTGGCAGCACCTGTGTGAGGGAATGGAAGGCTTGGATCCTCACATTAGTGAGGCAGCAGTAGCAGCTCATCAAAATTAATGGCCAGCTGCACATGGAGGCTGCTGGAACAATTGGTCTCACTGAAAGATTCAATGCATGGATTACGTTCCCGATTACTCTCAAATGTTTTGGATTGTCATGGATCGTGCGCCTACCATCACTGAATGAACAATATTATTTTTTCAACACCCACAAAAGAATCTGCCAGAGGGCTGCAGCCGCAACCCAAGAAAGACAAAGTGTGTGGACTCATCGTCATGAAAGCCTGTCTGGGAGTCGGTATTACTGGCAGCATGGCACCGAACTCCGCCAATTCTCGCCCAAAATCTCCTCGTTCCGATCAGGCTGCCAGGTGTTGCAAAGGTTTGAGCCCACGCTAATCGAAAACTCCCAAGCTGAGGAAAGCGTTGTCAGGCTTAAACTCTGCATGCATGA